TCTCTCTCTCTCTCTCTCTCTCTCTCAACACCCTTTCGCTCGCACTCACACTCCTACACACCCTCCGCGCTCTCATCCGACCTCCCGCCACCCTCGTTCGTCGCTTTCCGAGTCACTCCGCGGCCGCTTCATCAACATCAGCACCGCCGGCACTCGACTCTGACGACAAATCTCACCGCTCCTCTCACCGCCAACGTATTGCGCGCCACCCTGCACATCTGCATCCGCCTCAGTTCGCTTCGGCGCTGCCCAGCACCCTCGCTCGTCCCTGTCTGTTCAAGGTAAGTCGGCCTGTCGTCGCCTCTCCCTTCCTCCCCCTCCTCCTCTTCCCCTTTCTTCTTCGCACTCCTCGCCGTCCCCTGGAAACGCTGCCAGCACCGCATTGGCTCGATACGCAAACCTTTGCGCTCCGGCATCGCACACGCATCGCACCATCGACAAGCACACCGCACTCTTCGTCGTGTTGCGGCCCGTCCATCTGGTCATCGTTCGATCCCTGCCTCGTCGTATTCCATGGCGGGACGCCTGCATCGGTCGACGTCTAGCTGCCTTGTCTCGACCCCTTTCGTTCCCACCTCCTCCTCTGCCAAGCGCCTGCCACACCTCTCTGCTCTTGCATCATCATCGGCCTTGATACTGATTTGCACCCTCGCTCCCCTCACTCTTTCCATCCGCACGACTGCCATGCGTCGCTTCGACCCGCATCTCTCCTCTATCGTCCAACGTTCCTCCATCGTTCTGCCGGGCACGCCGCCTCAGTCAGGTACTACAACTCCGCTCACAGACGAACTGCTCCAAGATACATCGCTAATCACCTCCACTGTGCATGTCGACGCAGCCGACAAGCTGGCACCTCAATCTGGCTCCACCGCTTCATCGCTCTCCACCGAAACGGACAAGCCACGCTCCACTGCACCACATCACCACTCTATCTTAGCGCACTACCAGCACCGCGCATCCCTCGCCAGCCTGCGCACCAGTCGTCCTCTCTCTTACTACGACCCGGGCGAGAACAAACCGCCCACCCCGCCCTGGGCTGACGCCCTGCCGCCCCCCTCCGGTCCCGGCTCCATCGACAATCTCTTGGATTCCAGCGCAGCCATGTCGCAGGGCCCTTCCATGCCCCAGATGTCGTTGCTCTCCCAGGCCATGCAGCAGCATCTCACCCGTCAGCAGATGGACGCAATGGCAAGCCACGATCCCAACGCAGCCAGTGCCACGCATACCCCCAGCGGCTCGGCGCTGCCTTCGCCGGCACTCGCGGGGCCGGGCTCGCCCTTCAGCTATGGTCCCATGCCAGCTGGCGCCGACGCTGCCTCGCGACCGTCTTTCCCTCACCAGGGCAGCTTCGGCGCCGCAGCAGCTCAGATGCCGTTCGGCTCGTATATGTCCCAATCACACAGCCGCAGGGCCAGCGGATACGCCACCAACCCGCACTCGGCCGCCCCCAGCGCAGGCCCTTCGCGCTCCTCCTCACCCTCCCGAGCTGCGCATGCTCCTTTGGATGCGACATCGGACCTCGCTTCGCACCCAGCACGCTCGTTCTCCGGCGCCAGCCAGGCGGGTCCAGAGTACGGCACCTCCTTCGGCAGCCAGCGCACCCACACCAACGGCGTCCCACACGTCATGCCTGTTCACTCCAACCCTGCTGCCATGGCCGGTCCCGGATCGTGGACAGGTCAGCAGGGTCTCTCCTATGCACCGACCCCGCAGAACTCGTTCGTTCCTAACCAATCGGCCATGCTTCCCCCCCACCACTTCCAGCCCGCATCGCATCAGCAAGCCTCCCTTTACCTGCATCAGCCCCCGTCGCACCCGCAACATCCGCAGCACCTGCAGCAACATCCTCAGCATGCTCAGCCTTTGGCCTTATCGCACCAGCAGGCCGCCCAGTTCAGCAACTATCGAGGCGGTCCAGATGCCCTCCTCAGCCCAGAAGCTGTCACCTCGGCCGACTTTGCCGGTTTCTTCGCTTCTGCCGGAGGTGCAACAGCCGCCGCCGCTGCAGCAGGCGCAGCCCCTCTGACAGCTCCATCAGCGGCCGAGAGTCGCCGTTCGACCCAAGATTCTCGCTCCAGGCAGAGCACAGCCGCCTTCCCAGACGAGCTCGGTGTCGACGCGCTGCCAGGAAACCTCAACATGAGCCGGCGCGGCTCGGCAGGGGCCGAGGATGCAGCCGACGACGAGGATCTCGATCCCGACGAGATGTCCAAGAAGGACCCGCTCGCCACGCAGGTCTGGAAGATGTATGCAAAGCAACGCTCGCAGCTTCCCAACGGCGCCCGCATGGAGAATCTCACCTGGAGGATGATGGCTATGACGCTGCGCAAGAAGAAAGAGCAGGAAGCTGCGGAAGCCAAGCTAGCCCTCGAAGCGCAGTCTAATGCGAGCCGAAGCCACGCATCGAGCGCACGTCATTCGCCCACTCTCTCGTCCAAATCGGCAGGAGGCTCGCGCCGAAGCAGCGGCTCCTTCCCAGGTGATCCAGCCGCGTTTGCTGGCGGATTTACCGCAATCCAGAGTGATGCATCCGATGTCCCGGAGCAGCGTTCGCGTGCTGCATCAGGAGCAGGTGCCAACGCCGTAAAAGGCAAGACCCGCTTTGCCGAGGTCATTCAGCAAGAGGAGGAGGAACGTGGTCGCCGAGGACGCAGTCCTCGAACTCCAGAAAGCGCCGCCACCCCCGCCGGCGCCGTAGATATTGTCGACTGGAGGATGAAGAGCAAGAGCCGCTCGCGCTCGCGCTCGGTAAGTGCAATGGACGTCGATTGGCGCGGGGTAAGCCGTTCGCGCTCGCGTGCGCCCATGCGCCTGGACACGATCGATGACGAGGGCAACATGGACGGCGCCGCCCTCTTTAGCCGATCGGCGCCCAACGCCAACGCATTCGACGGCTTCAACTTTGCCGACTTGGCGCAGTTCGACGGCACCGACGCTTTCGGCGCATTCGACAGCGCGCTCGACACGGACGACTTTTCCGACCTGCTCCGTCCCAACGGCGCCAACGCTTCCCACATGCCCGGATACGGGGGCGCTTCCGCCAGCGGCAGTGCACGCAGAACCTCGAGCGCCGCACGCAAGGTGCAGATGCAGAATGCCTTCCGCAGCGCGGCTAACACGGACCTCTTCGGGGCCGAGTCGGACGCATGGTCGGCCGCAGAAGCCGAATCTTCTCGAGCCGCTGAGCTCAGGAAGGCGAGTATGGACATGGCCTCGATCGGCGCTGCCAACAGCTTCGGCGCCCCCTTTTCGACGCTCGACAGCATCCCAGGCATTGGCGACTTTGTCAGCATTGCCGCCAACCAGCACCCGGAGTACGGCTTCTTGCCCCGCTTAGTGCGAAAGACGAGTTTCGACCACAAGGTGCGCGAGAGGAGCATGTCGCGAGGTCCTCGCAGGGATCAGCTCGCCGCCGAGGCTGCCAACAACCGCAAGAGGCCGTTCCGCGACGATCTTTCCCCGGCACGCCCGCCCATGCAGATCCCCATCACCATCGATCAACGTATTGCGGCGGGTCTGTCTCGAAACATCGCCTCACTGGGCTCGCGCGGTGCGCCGACCTCGTCGCTGTCGCTATCGAGCGTGCCTTCAGGTAGCTTCGACTTTGCTGTGCCGCAACCTGGCTCGCATCCGCACCAGCAATTGCCGCTCGGAGCCAACACGGCACTCGGACACCCGACGAATCGTAGTCACGAAACTGCCACCGACTTTGACAGCTTGCTCGAGACACTTGCTTCCCAGGCGGGCACGCCGACCACGAACCTCATGACCGGCGCCAGCGCCTCGCCTCAAACGGCACTAGGCAGCGGGTCGGGTGCTTCGCCCATCACTCTGCCTAACGGCGCAGCAGCAGCTGGCCAGCAGAACCCGGCGGACCTGGAAGCGATCATGAACATGTTCTACAACTCGGACGCCGGTCTTGGCGGACCACAGCCGTCGTTTACGCACATCAACCCGAACCAAGTCTTCGGGGGCCCCATCGACAACATGGCGAGCTCGCTCGGCAACCTCACAGCTTCGGGAGACGAAGCGTCGTCGAATTGGACGTATAGCCCGTCGAGTGGCGCGCCGTCCAACGCAGCTACGCCGCCCGGCCTACAGCACCACGGTCAGTATCATCGCTCGCCGCTGTCGGGCAGCGCCAAACGAGAGCTGGCGCTTGCCCCCGAGTCAAGTGCTTCGGCTGCCTCGCGGTCCAACGCGTCGCCAAGCATGCAGGCGATCCAGAAGGCGGCTGCGATGAGCGAGGCTTCCCGCGGCAAGAAGGTCGGTTCCGGACCGATGCCTGGCGGTCCAGGCGAGGCTGCTCGCGGTGGTCCGGGTGCCGGACCGGGCCCAAGTGTCAACCTCAAGGACCTGCCCTCGGCGAGCTCGATGGCGACGGCCGACCCCCCTACAGTGTGCTCCAACTGCCATACGACCAAGACGCCGCTGTGGCGACGCGATCCCGAGGGCCAGCCATTGTGCAACGCCTGCGGCCTCTTCCTCAAGCTGCACGGTGTTGTGCGACCGCTCTCGCTCAAGACGGACGTGATCAAGAAGAGGAACCGCGCCAGCGGTGCTCAGCGCGCCGACGCGCGAGGACGCGGTTCGTCGGGTGGCGGAAGCGGCAACGCCAACATCGCTCCTGCAGGCGGCGCCAACGGCACGGCCAAGAACGGCACGGGCAGCGGGAATGCAGGATCTGGACAGGGCTCAGGCAGGAGCAGGACAAACACGAACGTGTCGGTCGCGGGCATCAGGACGGGCAACGTCCCGATCGCCCCGGCGCCGACACCGCCTGTCTCGTCGCCAGGCAGCACGGGGCTAGGGAGCTCCGCCAAGGTCGAGAAGCGCCAGAGAAAGTGAAGAGGAACTAGCGGAATGGTGCTCTCGCAATCGATCTGATTAATTCTGTGCTCGGCGGTGTGTGCGTTGTGCTGTGTGCAGCAAGCTGAGCAAACGTGATGGCTCCAGTCCGTCGGACAGTGCACGCCCCCCTTTCGCTGCCGCAGAGTTCTTTGCATGGGGGCCTCTGAGGCGCCACTCGTCCTTGCGCATCCCCACAGCGCGTGACCCACCTACTCCACGCTGCCCAACCAAAGACACACTCCAAGCCAAGTGCATAGGCGCGTCGACGCCAGCTACGGTGCGGCAGCAGGACGCGATGCCAAACGAGGTGGCGGCGGTGTGATTGATGTGCCTGCTCTGCTGGGATGGTGGCGTTGCCAGCATCGAAACAGTGTCACCTGCCTTCCACTTGCGGATCCCACCAACGCTGTCACCTGCCTGCCACTTGCACCTTGGAGCTGCCAGCGATGGTGGCAGTAGCAGCGTCATCATGGGCCTTGGAACTGGCTTTTTGGTCGAGCTGCAGCTTTGGCACTGGAAGAAGCGGAAAAATGACTGAAAATGTTAGGTTACGATCGAGCCGCACGGTTCACACTGCACAAGCCTTCTGCCACACACGCCTCCTTCCAACGATCAACCTGCTTGCCATTCTGCCTTCCGAAGACCAACTCACCAACCTTGGACGACATTCCTCTGAAAGCGTCGGGCCATTCCCACACCTGTCTTCCGGGTGCTCAACCGCTTCCTTACCTCGCGCATCATCGGGTCGCATCTGCTGTTCACGATCGCAGCTTGTCGACGGCAAGGATCAGGGCCGGGTGTACTCCTCGAGATTCCAACTGCTCGACAGCCTCTCAAGACGAGAGCTCCTGTCTGAGCAGGGGGAGAGCTGGGCGGCGGTATGGCAGCAGCATCATCGCGGCCTCAGAGCGGGTTTCATGCCGCGCCGACGCCGTCTCCCGTCGGCGGACGCAGCTTCATCGACCATGCCAAGCTGCGCATCCTGCTCGCGCCCGTCGGCGACATTGACGAGGCCGAGTTCGCCAAGTGGTGCGATGCTGTGCGTTCGTTCGAGACGATCCGCCTCGCCGACCTTCCCTCGTCGTGCGCCGCTCGACAGCAAGCAGCTCGCCATGCAGCATCCGGCAGCTCCGCATCCGCATCGACATCAACATCGCCTATCCTGCAGACCGGAGAAATCCATCTATCGTTCGTGACGAGCTATGACCCGGACCACGCCTTTCTCGCGCCGTTCAACATGCACAGACAGGTGCTCGGCGCACTAGGCCTGGCGACGTACTCGAACAACGCGCTGAATCGTCACGAGCTCGAGGCGAGTCCGTCGGCGCTGAGGGAGCTCCACCCGGGCGCGCTGGTGCACCGCGTGTTTGGATTCGACTCGGGAGCCAAGCGGCCCGAGACCGTCGACCTCAGCTCGATCAAGGACGTCGTCGCAGCAAAGATCAACAGCAGCCAGCGAACAGGCTCTCCACTCAATCCTGCAGCGGCAGATGCGGCAAGACCAGGCTCGGCGGCCGGTGATGATTCGGCGGGTGGGGTGTCTACGCCCCAGCTGCCTTCGTCCCCAGACGCCTCGGGCTTTTCCGCGCACAGAGACGGCGGACTGATCATCTTCCCGGCTGTGCGCAGGGATGGAAAGGACGTACGGTTCTACCTCAAGACGCTCCTTGCGGAGCTCGTGGCCAACATCCTTGATGCACTCGATCACATCGTCACAGGGCTCGAAGGGACGCCGCTCGAGACGCCACGAGAAACACTCGACGGAATCGCGTCCAGAAATGCGTCCACTCCAACCTCTTCCGCAAACAACACCTCGTGGCTTGGCAAAACAGGAACTTCAGCGACGGGCGCCTCGCTCGCGGCCGGAATGGGAGCAGCGGCCAGCCGTGCTTCGAGCCTTTTTGGCGCGTTCAGCAGCAGTAGCAGCAGCACTGCAGGAAGCACAACCGGCGATGTAGGGACAGGCACTTCGACACCGACATCCTCGCGGCCCTCGAGCGCGATCGGTGGTGGATCGCATCCGTTCGACCTTGCCTCGCCAGGGTCAAAGACTGCCTCGCCCACATCCGAGTCGACGCGGAGCAAGATCCTCGCGGCGAATGCTAACAAGAAGAGCGCCAAGCGCGTCACGAGTGCGGCGGCGACGGGACCGACCGGGTCGGGCCGGTACGCCAAGGTGCGTGCGGACTTGCATCTGCTCTCCGGCAATCTGTGGGCCGCGCTCGAGGCGTATTCGAGTGCGCTGGTTGCGCTGGGCAAGGAGCGTGCGCTTGCAGGCGGGCAGGATGCCGTGTGGTTCGCGAGCGCGCTCGAGGGCTTCTCGGTCGCGCGTGTGCTGGTGTCGCGCATGGGCGGGGCGGTGCTGGAGAAGGCGCCGTGCTTCGACCTGCCCTGGTCGGCAGCCAATGCCAAGGACAAGGACAAGGACAAGGAGAAAGACAAGGACGGCATCCCACGCCCCTACGCCAAGCAGAGCTGGGGCGAGGTGGCAGAGGCGTACACGATTGCGCTCGTTATCTACGCGAAATGCCTCGCGCCGCCGAGTGTGCTGCTCGAACCCGTGCGGTCGGTGACGAACGACTCGCCAAGAGACTATACGCATCCGCTCATCCATGCCAGTGCATGCACGCAGTACGCGCGCTTCCTGCTTGCCGTCTGGGCGTCCGGTGGATGGAACGGAGAATGCTTCGACCAGCTCGTTTATGGCGGTGTGCCACCGGCGCTGGCGGAGGAGAAGCCCAGCAATGCCATGTACCTTGCGCTCACCGCGATCTCGGGCATTGCCAGACACGACATCGCCGCCGCTGCATCGTCTGCGCTCACCCACTCGATCATCGCACTCAAACCGACCGACCAGATCACACTGCTCAGCACGCTGACCGCCATCTTTGGGTGCATCGGATTCTCGCGCCGCGAGGCACACCTGCTCCGACAGCTCCAGTCGACCATTGTGGCGCTACTCGTCAAGGCGAAGCGCGTCAATGCGCAGCCGCCAGCAACAGCGTCGCTGCCGTTGCAGCAGCACGCGCACTTTGACAAGGACGCCAGCGAGCTGCTGGGCAACATGGTGGCGCAGACGACGTTCGACTCGCTCGGGCGCGGGCCCGAGGCAGTGCTGGTGCTCGCCGTACAGGTGTGCGAGACGTACGGCATCCATGTGGAGCTGGATCCGTTGCGCGGGGTGCCGCCGTTCCACATCCTGTCGCGCGCGTCCGAAGGACTGCGCAGTGCCTACGCCTCGCCTGCGCTCGCCGGATCGGAATCGTGGAAAGCCGATGGCGATCCGCGGCCGTCTGTGCAGGCGGCCCTGTTGACGCCCGAGGAGCTCGCGCAGGAAGCGCCGTACGGGTGGAAGGAGCAGCAGATCGCACTGCTCAAGGAGGCCATTGCCACCGCCGAGCTACTGACCGACTACGTGGGCATGGCTTTCTTCGGCGCCATCCTGCTGCGTGATTTTAACGCGCTGCTGGATGCCGACGAGCAGCGCGATCTCATCGTCGGCATGCAGCGTGCTGTTCAGGCCGCACGCTGGGCAGGCGCCCAGGACCTTAGCCTCAAGTACTGGGGTCCCGTCGAGCCGCTCTGCAGCCTTGAGCTTCTCCCGCTCGCGGCCGACAGGCTTCCGCACGAGCGAGAAGCGAAACACGTGTGGTCGGACGCAGCGCCGAAGGCAGAGGAGGGTGTGGCGGGGCTGAACAATCCGATGTTCATGAACCTCCCTGCGGCACGGACGTCGGCCAAGGCCAGGGCGACTGCGGTGCAGCACGAGCCGATCCATGTGATGGCGACGTTGCAGAACGATTTTGCGACCGAGCTGCACATTGACAGCGTCAAGCTGGTTGCGGACGGCGCTGGATTCGTGGCGGAAGAGAGCGAGAGGATCTCGATCCCACCGATGTCGTTCCACACGGTGCGGCTGGCGGGCACGGCCAAGGAGGTGGGAACGGTGACGGTGCGTGGCGTCACGCTGACGCTCGCGGGAGGGTGCACCGAGGAACACACGTTCCTGCTGCCGGTGTACGACGAGGACAACGTGCGCGAGCGGCGCAAGCGTGCAGCCGAGGCGGACGACCGCAAGACGCGCCTCAAGGAATGCGGTCTCGACGCGCGCTCAGCTGTGGTCAAGCAGAAGGCCGTGGCGGCTGCTGGCGATACGAACCGCAAAGCCTCTGCGAACAAGTGGATCGAGATCTCCGCGGTGGGTGCACAGCCGTTGGTCGCGGCGTACTGCGGCGCGCTGAGCCCGCTCGGCGGCCTCGACATGTTCGAAGGCGAGTCGCGGCTGATCCAGCTCGAGCTGGAGAACGTGCACGCGTCGCTGGCGGTCAACTATGTGCGTGTGGCGTTTAGCGACGATGCGAGCGAGGCGGCGCAGCAGGCGCTGGCGGACGGCGAGCTGCTGCCGGCCGATGTGCACGAGGTGGAGTGGGACCTTGTCCACCAGCCAGCGCTCTCGCGCGATCCCTCGGACACGCGTGGCGACGCCGTGCACATCGAAGCTGGCGCATCCACGACGCTGCCTGTGCGCGTGACGGCCAAAGCAGGCTGCACGTACGCGGTGATCTCGCTCGAGTACGCGCACCTGGACCGCAGCAAGGGTGCGACGACCAAGGTGCATGTGCGCATGCTCGAGGTGGCGTTCCGCCTGAGCGTGCATCCGGTGGTGGTGTGTCGGGACCTGACGATTGTGCCGCTGCGCAGCGGTGAGGCAGCTCGACTGACGCGCGAGTGTCTCGCGTCGGCCGATGCTGTCCCTCCGCAACTCCGGACGTTTGGCGTCGATACCGAGACGCAGGTGTCTAGCACGCCTGTGCCCCTCGAGGGTGGCGAGGCAGAGACGGACGAGGAGTACTGCCTGGTGAGCATAGAGGTGAGCAACGTGCACCGCGAGGATGTGCTGGTGCGCTTTGCGCTCAACACGGGCGGACTGGTCCCACTGCAGCTCTACCGCGTGTTGCGTGCCGGCACAACGACGCGGCTTGTGCTACCGCATCCGCGTATCGAGCTAGATGCCACCGGTCAGCCCGCAACTGGGCAAGGCGCAAGTGGCGGACTGCCGGCGATCCCTTCGGTCTGGGCCGGTGCGGGGACACGACAGTTTATCGTGTCGAAGCTGCAGCTGAGTGCAGCCGAAGAAGCCGAGATGCGCGCGACGTTTTGGTACCGCGATGCGCTGCTCAAGCGGCTAGGTGGCGTGTGGAAGACGATGCGCACGGAAGTTGCGCTTGCGGAGCGCGGTGGCAAGGTTCCTCTTCGCGGCATGGTGACTGGTGGGCTGGAGATGGACGCGGCGGATAGGGAGGCGCTTCAGAAGTCCGTGGTGGGCATAACACTCGCGTTCGAGCCGAACCCGGTGCGGGCCGAGGCGTTTGTGAGGGTGCGCGCGACGGTTACGAACCGGGTGGCGCGCAAGATCCAGCCCATCATTCGACTTGTGCCCACGTCGCTCAACGGTGCCGCGGACACCGATGCCCAGCTGCTCGCAAGCATGGTGCTGGCCGACGGAACATGGACCGCTCCAAGAGGAGACCCGATCCCGCCAGGCGAGCAAGTCGACGTCGAGTGGCACGTGGCATTTTTGTCGCCGGGCACGTTTGCCTTTGTGGTGAGTGTGCAGGAAGCCGAGCCACAGCAAGACCCCCGACTCGCACTAGTCTCGGCCGTTCACACGCTCACCGTCCTGCCCTGACCCACACTGCGCGCAAAAAACTTGGTTGCAAAGGCACAATCGTGCAGAGTGGTGTTTGTGAATTGCGCTTGTCTATACGAGTCGAACAGGAGCGTGAATGATCTCCTCCACTGGCTCTACCTTCTCCTCCATGCTGTCTTTGTTGGTGCTAAAATACGCCTTGGCGGACGACCACCATGCGCGCACGTTCTCCGGCGTGGGCACCCATCCATGGCCCAACAAAGCGAGCCCAGCCTCGAAGGCGATGAGCCCGATGATAATCAGCTCCATCCTGTGCGTGGTCTTCTCAGTAAGCAGCGCCCTCACCACGGCGAGCAAGTTCTCGCAGTGGTCGAGCTTTTCATTGAGCGTCTCGAAGCGCTGCCCAATGTCGAGGTTGTGGCAGATGGACCGGTAGTGATCCTCCATCTTGCCGTTCTCCCAGTACACTTCCGGTTCGTCGTAAAAGTTGTCTCGGTCGAGGTTGGCTGTTTGGCGCAGACGCAGCAGTGTGCCTGTGTGTTGGATGGTAGACGCGCGCGAGAGAGGTACACTACCCGCCTGCTCGAGCTGCGCAGGGATGGTCGAGACGGTCGAGAGAAAGTTGGACAGCGCCGATTCCTGCACCGACAGCCTAGCGGAGCGTGCCAGGCCCTGCGAGAAGGCCAGCCGCGCCAGCGTGGGCGTCCACTCGGTTCCAAACGACGTGTAGGGCGAGGTCGGTGCGGCCGGCGGCGGCACCGGCTCCTCCGCGGGTTCGGCAAAGTCAAGCGCCTCAGCAGTGTCCGTAGGGTCAGCCTCGGCATCGAACGTCTTGGGCGGCTGACCAATGACGATGATATCGCCCTGGACGCGCGTGGGCTGCGACGAGGCGTAGAGATAGTCCATGGCTTCGTCGCCGATCTGCGAATACCTGCCGAGCTCCACCTGGTACTGCAGATCGCGGCCCTGGATGACGCTGCGCAGGAAGCGCTGGCTCTGCTCCTCGTCCAGCCCCCACGTGACAAAGGATCCGGAGCGGAAGATGAACACCTCGCCTCTGCCCAGTGCTGCCGAAGCGGACGTTGACGCCGCTGGAGCTGCCGAGCTTGCGGGAGACGCCGATGGGACCGGCCACTGCGGGATGTGGATCACCTCGTTGTCCTCAAAGATCTGGTAGTTGGGCGGCAGCCTGCCGGAACGAATGAGCTCGGCAAACGAGTAGGAGTAGGCGGTTGCCCACGCGTACACCTGGCCCGTGGTGGGCTCGGCGATGGTCTGACGCAGCGCCTTGGAGGCTTGCGCCTTTGCGCGTGCGGACGAGGTTTTTGTGGGCGCGACGTTGTTCTTGCGCGACATGGCCTGTACAAGCTGCGGCGGAAGGTTGAGGGTGATGGATCCGCCGCCGGTGGTGCCCTTGTTAGGAGGGCTATACGAGATCTGTACGGGCTTTGATGTGGTCGCCGCCGGTGCTGAGGTCGAGGAGAGCGAGGCACGGTTGGTAGACGGGGCTGCCGACGGCGATACTTTGGCGTCAGCGCTTCCCTTGGCCGAGTCGTCGTTGCGCAGCCGTGGTGTCGGAGACGAAACGAGTCGTGCTCGCGAGGCGCCGGCAGCAAAAGAGCCTTGACGCAGGCTGGACTGCGACACCGCCCGGACGGCCGACGAAGCTGAGCGCAGCATGCTGGCGACAGCTGTTCTTGACGGTAGAATTCCAGGAGGGGGCCGACGTCTAGGATATCGCGCTTTGTGGAGTTGCCGTTCGAGGGCTTACGTGGTTGGTTGGTTGGTTGTTTGGTTGGTTGGAAGGTTGGAAGGTTGGAAGGTTGGAAGAAGAAGGGGGGAACGAAACGACTGACTCCACTTTATCGCGGCTTGTCCCGAAAGGGCAAAGCTGTCCGGCGAGACGCACGCTTTGCAGCGGTGAGAGAGAGAGCGTTACGCGCCCAAAAAAAAGCTGAGCCGGAACAGCCGGAAAGTGGAGAATAGTGCGTCTCTTTTGACTCGCCTTGCAGATCGCCGAGGTCGCTCACCCGATGCCGATGACGCATCGGAGATCAGCAGCAGCGACCGCCCAAACTTCGGAAAGCACAGCCGGAGAGTTGAGCGACGCACGCGTTTTTTGCAGATCGGCTGTGCATGCAGTCCGGCAGGGCGCGCCTCTGATTGGCCGCGAAGAAAGCGCTGCCGTAGGCCTGCCCTTTTCGACCGAGGAGCGTGTGTGCGAGGGAGAGAGGTGTTGATGTGGAGCAGCCTCGGCTTTCAACTTCACCACCTCTCCTCCATCTCGTCTGGTCCTATCCTTTCCACTCTTGCATACGGCTCATTCTCCTCGGACTCGATCATGACATCCTGATAGGCACGCGGTAACTGCTCCTCCGAATACCCATTCCACACCTTCTCCGATACGCCAGCCCCTCATTCACACCACCACACCCGCCGCTGGGCGGCTGCAGCACACATTTCACCAGCATGGCCGCACCCGGCACTCCGATGGGCGCATCCGCCACGCAAGCTGCGACCACATCCAGTACCACAGATGCGCCGTCAGACCCGCTCTTCTCCCCGCCAGCCGCTTCGAGCTCGTCCAGCCACCAGCAGCATGCCGCATCCAAGCTCGACGCGCCCGCACGTCCACCCAGCGGCCTTTCGAAGCGCGCCCACACGCCCGGTCAGGACCAGATGCCGCTCACCATCCACACCGCCGCACAGCGTGGCGATCTTCCGGCCATCATGCGCCTCGTCGACTCGGGCCGTGCAACCGTGCATGACCGCGACGACGACAACATCACCCCGCTCCACTGGGCGGCCATCAACGCACAGCTCGCCACATGCCGCTACCTCCTCGACCATGGCGCCGAGGTCGATGCGCTCGGAGGCGATCTCGTCGCTAGCCCGCTCCAGTGGGCCGCGCGCAATGGACACGTCTATGTGCTAGAGTTGCTGTGCTCGCGAGGCGCCGACCCAACCATCACCGACTCGCAGGGCTTCAACTCGCTCCACCTCACCGTCCATTCGAGCGCCGTCATGCCGCTCGTCCTCATGCTCCAGCAGTCTTCCCTCAGCTCACCCGAGGGGCTCGATGCCACCGACTCCCAGGGCCACACTGCGCTCATGTGGGCTGCCTACCAAGGCGATGCGATTTCAGTCGACATCCTCCTCAAGCACGGCTCCGACGTACTCAAGCGCGACAGTGCCGGCTTGACCGCCATGCACTGGGCCGTCGTCAAGGGCAATCGCCTCTGCATCCGTCTTCTCGCCGACGCCAAGTCGGACCTACTCGCAAAGGAGGATTCGGGCAAGACGCCACGCGACATGGCGGTCGAGCTCAAGTCCATCGGCGCCTACCGCAAAGCGCTCGCCGACATCGGATTCGAGGAAGACGGCCGGCGCAAGCAGCGCACGTTCGGCGCGAGCACCGACCGTACCGCGCGTCTCGCCGTCATGGTCGTACCCTTTATTGCGCTCGGCTTGATCTTTGCTACGTTTGCAGCGCTGCCCTGGTATACGGCGGCGCCGTTTGCAGCTGCCGAGTTCTTTGGCATGCACCACGTCGTGACGCGCGTCATCCTCGATCCGCAGGAGCACGACTTTCTGCAGCGCAGCAACTACTTTCTCGCCATCGTGTCCGGGTCCATCGCGTGGGTGGGCTGGGAGTGGGTGCGCAAGCTTGCGTCCAACACGCCGGGGTACGCATCGACCAACCTGCTGTTTGCGCTGTCGCTGCTCGTGTGTGCGTGGAACCTGTTTCGGGCCTCGACGATTTCGCCGGGGTATGCGCCGCTGGCGCCCTCGGCGCTGCACCGCCGCGAGACGGTGACGCAGCTCGCGCAGCAGGGCAGGTTGAATGGGCAGACGTTCTGCGTGGCGTGCATGGCGCGCAAGCCGATGCGCTCCAAGCACTGCAAGCTGTGCGGCCGCTGTGTGGCGCGCCACGACCACCATTGTCCCTGGGTAGCCAACTGCATTGGCATCGAGAACCACCGTCAGTTCCTGCTGTTCGTCGGTGCGCTCGTGCTCGGTATTCTTCAGTTCGTCTATCTCACCGGCGTGTATTATGCGATCAATGCGCCGCCGTACGATCCGCTACCCGATGCGAGCATCGAGACGTGTCATTTGCCGTTTGCTGCGCTGTGCACTGCGACGACGTACGATCCGTTCCTGCTCGGCGTGGCGGTATGGGCAGCGTTGCAGCTCAGCTGGACGGTGATTCTGCTGGGCGCACAGTCGTGGCAGGTGATGCGCCAGATGACCACGCTCGAAGTATCCAACCTTGGCCGATTCGGATTCATGGGCGGTAAGGGTGGGCAAAGCTACGCGGGCCAGACCAATTTTATCGCCATGCATTCCAGATCGCAACCTGGCGCCAGCAACGGAGCGGCCACGACGCTGCAAGGCATCCAAGCGCAGCAAAAACCAACGGAAGCAGATGAAGAGCTTCCGTCCTCAAGCTCAGCTGGGCACAGTCACAGTCACGGAAAGCTTGGCGTCGTGCGTCGCGTTGCAGCCGGAGCGGGCGGATGGTTGTTGTCGGTTGTAGGGCTGGACCTGTACACGCGCGGTAAGGCAGGCGAGGGTCTCAAACGTGCCAATGCTGCACTCAACCCCTTCGACCACGGCATGCTGGCCAACTGCAAGGACTTTTGGTCCAAAGGCGCCGATCTTGCCATCGACTATCCCACGCTCTACGATCTACCCGCCGAAATCAGCCCCGGCCACTGCGATACGCTGCCGTTTATTACCGACTCGCTAAGCGCAGGTTCGGCCCGTTGGCGCAACTCGGCTTACGCGCCGCTGCGTACATCCATCGACGAGGCAGACGACGAAGACAGACCCGGCACGTGGAGTATGTGGTCCTCAATCCGCTCACAACGTCCACTTCTGCCAACCGCCCATACCAACGAGTAGACCACACTAGCATAGCCCCACGCTCACAACTTGGGCGCAGCAAGCCTATGCCGAATCTTTATAGACCGCATGCATGTACGCGCGCATGGAGATATGACTGTGTATTGCCCGATGGCACTTTACGCATGTAGCGACGAGGGATTGGGCATAGGACGGTCCGCTTGGTACGTGGACGATGCCCCAAGGTCGTCTGGCAACATGGCGTATGGATCCGCATCTTCATCGGCACCGAGCGCGCCGTTCAAGGGCCCATCCGCCTCTGCCTCTGTTTCTGCCTCCTCGTCCTCCTCAATGAGTCGCTTTGAATCCGGTGCCGCCAGTGTCTTTGCATTGGCGGCTGCGGCTTGACTCGGCGCAGTGGTGTTGAGCACCGGCGCGCGCGCGACGGGTTTGGAATACAGATGCGCCGACGCATAGCGCCTCGCCGACTCGTCGAGCGCCGGCGAGTCGGGCACATAGCGCGCCTTGGCGTTGCGAATGAACGTCTGCGGCTGGCGATGAAAGATGCTGGCGAGACTCGCGCCGTGCAGCAGCAGCTGGTCGAGCAGCTGCCTATCCATCCTATCCGTCTCGGTCGAAATCGGTGGCTTGCCGCCCAACACAACCTGCCTCGCAGCCTCGGGATCCGTCGAGAGCAGGCGCCAGTACATGAAGCCGCGGTCGCGCAGGTCCGGATTCTCCACCTCCTCGGTCGCCCACTTGAGCACCTTGGGCACCAACTCGCCGCCCGCACTCGGCCGCTTGAGGAAGAGCTTGACCGTCGCTGTAAGCAGCGCCAACTGCACCTCGACGGGCTCCTCGAGGAAGGTGTACAAAAAGTCCTCGAGCAGCTCATCGCTGTTCTCGATGCGGTCCGCATATTGACCGATGATCCAGATCATGGCCGCCTTGGCCTCGCTCTCGTCGAGGTTGTCCAGGTTCTCGCACAGCGTCGAGATGACGCTCTCGTAGCGGTTGGGATACTTGCGGAAGATGTCCTTGATCACCACGATCGCCTCCTGCACCACGTAATTGACTTTGGTCTGGATGAGCGCCAGCAGCGCATGGATGCAGCGGTCGGCCGACGACTCGATCTTGATGGCCAGCCGCCCGATGCTGCGTACGGCCTTGCGCGCAAAGTCGACGTCCACCTCGGACGCGTATTCGCGCAGTTCGGCGAGCACCTGCTCGACGTTGCGCTCGTTGGCCAGGCGATAAATGATCTCGAGCTTGGCCATCTTGACGTAGATGGGGTCGTTGTACTTGCAGAAGAACACCTTGACTTCGTTCTGCAGCACGAGCGGGCGGCGCTGGATGACGAGCAGGATGTTGCGGAGTGCGACGTACTGCACCTCGGGGCCGGAGGAGAGCAGCGTGACGAGCGGCGGAGAGAGCTTGCGGCAGAGCGACTCCTTGAACTCGGCACTGGCGATGTAATTCATGAGGTATAGAATCACCTTGGTGGCTGTGAGGACGACGGCGGAGTTGGCGTGTTGGAGGCGCACCGCGATGCGCTCTGCAAGGATCTCTGCGTCTGCGAAGTCGGCGGGCACGAAGAACATGAGCGCCTCGAGGATGTAGGTCTGGCCCCATTCGGAGCATTCTGCGAGGGCGGCGACGAGCTTGGAGGCGATGGTGAGGTTGAGTTTGAGCTGGATGTTGTCGGAGCGCTCGGAGATTTCGACGAGTGCGGCGACGGCATTGGCGACCACGGTGGGGTTGGCATCGGCGAGGAGGTCGCGGAGCATGCCGATGAACGAGTGCTTTTCGATGAGGCGCTTGTCGTGCATGTAGAGCTTGGCGACGCAGATGGCGGCGGTCTTGCGAACGTACGGATCGGCATCCTTGAGCGAGTGGCGCAAGGGGTCGATGAGTGCGGCGAGAACGGTGGGGACGTGGATGTAGGACATGGTGCGGATGGCGAGGGCGCGGATGAGCGGGTTGCGGTCGTTGCAGTCCGAGAGGAAGCCTGGGATGGCGTTGGGCACCTGGTCGGGCTTGGAGCGAGCGTAGTTGATGAGGTAGAGGTAGACCATCTTTTTGATCTCGAGAACCTGGATGTTGATGCACTGGACGACGTCGGGGAAGAGCGCCGACATGTCGTTGCCCATGGTGGCATTGGCGATGATCTTTTTCAGCACGGTCTTCTTGCGCACCCAGCCCTTGTCCTTCTTGTCGGCATTGAGCTCGGTGCGGAGCTCGTCGACCTTGCTCCTCTGGAAAAATTTGGCATCCTTGCCTGAGTCTGCCATGGTGGGCAGTGTGGAGTGGTCGAGGCTGGAGTGCGGTGGGATCGCTCGATGACGGGTTGGACGGTGTGGTATAGGAGGGACAGTGCGCCGAGCGTTGCAGCTGTTGCGATAGTCGAAGGGACCGTGACCGTAGCCTATGAGCGGCTAGAAGGCGTCGAACAAAGGGAGACTGGGTGTTGGTATTGTGACGGATTGACGAGAAGAAAGGAGGGTAGCCGTTGAGCGCGCCCACGGCGTGTGTAACTGCAGCGACTCAGACCGGGCGCGCGTGCAGAAGTGACTGCTAGGCTGGCTGTGCCAAATTCGAGTGGAGGACGTTCCTAGCGGAAGGGTGCGTGGCTGGCTCTGCCCTTTGTCTCGTGGCCAGTGCGATGCGGCGAGCTGCTCCGGGGATCGATTTTCTCAGATATCAAATGTTAGCTACGTCGAGCTCACATTGTAAAAGCCGAAAAATGACGCCGGGCGGAGAGTTGCTTGCCTCCTTCATCCGAATCCCAGCCTCGGTCAGGCTGCACGCATGCATGACCCCGGTGTGCATGAATGCTGCTGGTCGTCGTTGACCCTGTCCCGCTCGCCTTGACAGCCACTCCCGTTTCGCGGCTTTCCTCAAGGCAACCCGTGCCAACGAAGATGCTTGGCAATCAAGCTCACGGGACACCGACGCGACTTGGCGACCGTCGTGTCGCTGAGGAATGTGACTTGCGTCGAGCGACAAGTGGGGAAAAATGGACGACTCCCCCTCGTGCGGAGACGCGTCGACTCGAATTGCAGTGGCGCGAGAGCCAGCCGAGACCAACACGGCGTTGGAGCTTGCATTTCAGCCTCCGCCTGTCGTTGCCATCTATGCTCACGGCCAACGGATCAGGGCACGGCAGCGGGCAGCGGGCAGCGGGCAGCAGGAAGTTGCCATTTCGGGCCGACTGCGCAACTCCGACGTTTCCTGAAAGAACGTTTCGACATCAGCTCGCACTATTGTCGCCATCTCGACCCGCCTGCATTGCAGCAACGCCGGGATCGTCGGCGATGAGCCATGTCCAGCTCCATGCTTTTATTTCAATCCTGTCCTCGCCGTCGTGAGAGCACGAGTGTCGGGCAGCTGAGGTTAGAGGAGGCGAGCTGTTTTCGACATAGATGGTCGACGGCTCGCTCGGCGAGGCAAGAGAGCGAGCAAGGTTGGGCGCGCAAGGCGGAGTTGGTCAAAACAGCACGTCAGCGGAGATCGTCGTCATGCAGATCGGCCTAGCATTCAGCTGTTGCCATTTCGCGCTGGACAGCCAAAGAGGCAGGCCAATACGACGCCCCCGCATGCCCGTCGAAGCGAACCGTCGGCCCACTTGTTGACATGCTCGCCCCTGCCAGCGACCCCTTCCCTGCCCTCCCGTGCCCTCCTGCCCTCTGCCCTCCTGCCCTCTACCCCTTTAGCGGAACCCCCTTGCTTTGCTCAGGGTCGAGCCCGCCTTGGCCTGGGTCCTTCGTGCCAGCCGAGCATCCACACATGGCGCAAACAGCCCTACCCTACACTGCTTGGCGTGTTGCATATATACTCTGCCTCCTCCCTCGCTAGTGTAGGCATACACCACCCTCTACGCACCGTCTCGACCCTTTCCCTACGTCGGTCTTCCACACTTTGTCACTGCTCGCAATGAAGTTCCTCTCGCTCCTCGGTGCTATCCTGCTCTCGGCCGCTGTGGTTTCTGCCGACTCGTCTGTCGCCACAGGCGCCGACAAGGGCAAAGTTCCGCAGCTGCTCGAGCTCATCAACAAGCTCGAGCACGCCGATCCTGCATCGCCCACCTTTGCCACCGAGTTTGCCGACGAGCTGCCGCGTCTCGCCAAGCTCCACCGCGAGGTGGCTGCGCAGTCGAGCGACCGCCAGGTGCGCCGTCTCTACGGCGACGATGACGCCGCTCACAAGCTGCTCCAGTTCGTCCAGCTTCAGCCCGCCAAGCGCGAGGCCACCAAGAAGACCAAGGGCGCCAAGGGCGCCAAGTCCGACCACGCCGCCCACCCGGCCAAGAACGGCGATGCGGTTAACAAAGGCAAGAACGGCGCAAAGACGTCGGCCGCGCACAAGTCTGAACACGCAGCACACCCCGGTAAGAAGGGTGAGGCTGTGAACAAGGGCAAGAACGGCCAAAAGGTTTCCAGCGAGCACAAGTCCGAGCACGCCGCTCACCCCGGTACCAAGGGCGAGGCTGTCAACAAGGGCAAGAACGGCCAGAAGGTTTCCGGCGAGCACAAGCCCCAGCACGCCGCACACCCGCACCAGCAGCAAACGACCAAGCGCGAGGTCAAGGAGTCCAAGAAGGCTGCGTCCAAGAAGACCGAATCTAAGAAGACGGAGGGTAAGAAGTCCGACACCAAGAAGTCTGAGGGCAAGAAATCGGAGGACAAGAAGAAGGAGGCCAAGAAAGCCGAGTCCAAGAAGTCCGGTTCCAAGCACGCCGAGCATGCCAAGCACTCTGCACACTCCGAGCACGCCGCACACGCCGATTCGCACAAGACGAGCAAGAAGCCTGCCCACAAGCACGCCGCCAAGTCACCTGCCACCCCTCCCACCTCGTCTTAGATTCGTTCTCCCAAGTTCCCTCGCTCGTCCCAATGCGGACTTGAGCCAACTTCTTCCTTCCCTGAACAATTCCATATCTGAATCGCATCGCTATTTGAAGCCGACTTCAAGGCCAACAGTCTACGCGTGATGATGCTCTGTGAAGCGTGTGGTGAAGAGTTTATCGAAACAGTGAATGGAAGAAGGCTCACTGAAATTGCTGAATGGCATCCAGTTCCTAGAAGCGTCCGAAGGGGGGCTCAATGAAAACGAAAGAAGAGAAATTGGGGGAGAAAGGGAGGTTACGACGAGCTTGATGTAGAAGCGCCCAAATCTACTCCGAAGAGGGGAAATGTTAAGCAGCGTTGTTGAGGGTCTGGTAGGTGAGCTTGCCATTCTGGTAGAAGAAGTCGCAGACGTCCTTGTGCGGAATGGCACCGTTCCTGATGCCGTTCGGAGCAGAGAGGTACTGGGTGTTGAAGTTTTCGCTCTCGAGCAGGGGCTCGTAGAAGGCCTGCCACTTGTTGTAGTTCTGCACCTTCTGCGTATACGTATAACCCCTTCCTCTCGCACGCAGATACTCCTGCTTGGGGTTGGGCGAAGCATGCCTTACGAACGCACTGAAGGCGTCCGCATTGTACGCGACAAAGTCGAGATATTGCTGGCTGACCTGGATGCCCTCGTAGTTCAAGCTGCCCCACACGCTCTTGATGTCGTCACTGTGGCATACCTCCAGCCCCGTACCCTCGGGTGCACACTTTTCCGGGTAGCCAACAGTGTCCGGATAGCCCGACTGGGTCTCGTACAGGTAGACCTTGGGGAACTGACCCTTTTGCTGTGCCAGGTCCATGATGCGCTGCGTCGGGCATGTAAAGAAGTTGTACGTGAATGCCTTGGCCACCTGCTCGCGCACCGAGTCGCCAATCCTCTCGTCGAGCTTAAAGTAGCCCGAGGCGTCGAGCTTGGCAACAAAGTCGGGCGAGTAGAGCGCAGAAAAGGCCTTATCCAGCGCAGGCTGCATGTTGGGAAGCGTCTGGTTGAGCAGCTGATACACGAACAGCGAGCCCTCGCCCGAGGTGGTTCCGAGCAGCACCGGCACGTTGTTGGGGATCGTGCCGTTGCCGGCGAGGTAGAAGAACTGGCCATCCAGGATACCGTCCGGGGTCGGAAGGAACGGCTCGATCGAAGCGCCAAACAGGCTCGAACCACCCACCTTGGACAGCGCCACGGTGATGGCGTTGGTGGCGTTGGTGAACGCAGCACCCTGGACGAACTGCGCAGGGTCGCTCACCTTCTGCAGACACTCGACCATGGCATGGCCGCTGACGGGGCAGTTGAGGCTGGCTGCCACCGCAGGGGTGATGTACTTGGACTGAGCCGAGCGGTTGACCCAAGGCACCCACGGGTTGGAAAGCATGAAAGCACCGTGGAACAGGCCCTTTGCCTCGGAACTAGCGATGAGCGCCGAGATACTCTGCGCACCAGCCGACTCTCCACCGATGGTGATGCGGTTCGGGTCACCGCCAAATGCAGCAATGTGGTCGCGCACCCACTTGAGCGCAAGGATCTGGTCGCTGATCCCTGCATTGCCGGGCAGGTCTTTGCCCGAGGCGAGGAAGCCGAGTGCACCGAGACGATAGTTGAGCGTGACGACAACAATATCGGAACGCGAGGCGAGGTTGCCGCCATCGTACGAGTGGAGCGAGTTGCGGCCGCTGACGAAAGCGCCGCCGTAGATCGAGACGAGCACGGGCTTGAGGCTCTTGCGGTCGTACGAGCCGAGCGTGGGCGTGTAGATGTTGAGGTTCAGGCAGTCCTCACCCACGGGCATGGGACCGAGCGGCGTGGTGGACTGAACGCAAGCATTGCGGTAGCTGGTAGCGTCCAGCACCTTGTTGCCCGTGTAGGGCGTCGAGTGCATGAAGCGCTTGGAGCCGACCGGGGCGTCACCAAAGGGGATGCCGAGGAAGCGGAAGGAGCGTCGATCGCGGTAGCCGGTGACGGTGTAGTCGCCCGACTGGACGGTGATGTGCTTGTCGGTTGGACTGCCGTTGGCGTAGGGGTTGGCGCGCGGGACGGTAGCGGGCTCTGCAGAGTGGGTGCAAAGCACGCCGAGCTTCTCGCCCTGTCCGTAGGGTCGGACGGAGCCGCGACTGGCCTTGTAGGCGGCGACGTTGGCGCCGTTGCTGGTCCAGAAGGTATCGTACCATCCGATGGTGCCGGCGTAGCGCAGGTAGTTGAACTGGTCGATGAGGTCGGAGCCGATGCCGCCTTGAAGCGAGGTGTCGAGAGGGAAGAGCTTCTCGCCGATCTGCTCGCAGACCTGGGCAGCGCTGTCGGCGCCCACCGAGTTGGGCAGCAGAAGGGCGCCGGTGGAGGCGTTGGTGCTCAGGTCGTTCTGGTAGAGGATGTGGACAGGGCCAAGCTGAGCCTGATTGGGGGCGGCTCCGTCGCTGGGAGCATTGTTGCGCTCAGAGAAGAAGGGGATCGCACCGACGACCTGGCTACCGATGGCCAGAGCGCCGATGAGGCCTCCCACGGAAGAGAAGGTCTTCATGCTGATCGTCGTCGGCAGACGTAGCGTGTCGATGAGGTCGAGCTAGCTGCGGATTCGTGACGGTGGGAGTCCGAAAGCAGGGAGCGAGGATCGCGTCGGGCGTCTAGAGGGTGCCACAAGGATCAGCCAGCGGGGTGGACTAGCACGCCAGGGAGGGAAGGGGAGGAGGAGAGAGCGTCCAGGGGGGAGAAACCTGGGCGAGGGTGGCGGTGGAGAGGTGCGAGGTGAGACTCTGGCGCCAAGCAACGGGGAGGATGGGGAGCTAAAGGGGAGTATCACGGCGAAAGAGGCTGGCTTGGATCTAGACGAGGTGGGGGCGCTTTTATTCGTAGAGAGGTACGGAGACGGATCCGGTGGCTTCTGCGACGGGAAACAATGATTGCCTGTGCCGCTGTGAAGGGCCGTATACAGCAAAGGAGGTTAGGTGAGTGTGCATTTCTGCATTGCCATCCCAGTCTCGGCTAAGAAAGCGAGATGGGAGCGGTGCGGACACGGCCGTGCGGGGGGCTGGCGGGGAGCGCGGAACTGGACGGCGGAGGATGCAAACGATGGGCAGCTGCTCAATTTGGGCGCGGCGGCGGTTGTGCCGCCTCGAAAGGGTCCACTGCCAACAGGGGCTGGCTGACAGGCGCAGATTTGCAGCCAAATTGCCATTTCCAATGACGGGGAGCCAAGCCCATTGCAGTGCAGCGCTGCAGCTTGCAGTGCCTCCACGCCTCCTTTCCACCGCGCACTGACCCACCGAGCTGCACGGGGAGCGGACTCTGCCACAGCAACTCAGCGACCATGGTCGTGCTCTTGATGCGCAGGACGATCGCAGCTCAGATGCAGGAGATGCCGAGTGGGATTGGGGTGTCATTCCTGCACATTACAACCCGTCACAAAGGCCATATGAAGCCAGTGTGGATCGCCATGGAGCCAGGCTCTAAATGAAATTCACCCTCTCTTCCGCGGACCTCTCCTCACTCCTTCGGGCAGTGCAAGGTGACAGCAGGCAAGGACAGTGGATACAGGGCAACGTGCGAGCGCATTGACCACATGTCCAAGACTCACCGAGCTTGGTCGTGGGAAAAACAGGAACCTTTTTTCCAGCTGCACGGCGTTCGGATGACAGCCGAGCTGCTTCGTTTGCCCTCCCCCACACTCGGTCAAATCTCGCCCCGGCACGCTTCACCCTCCCTGCTTGCGTCCACTCGCGAGCAATCGAGCCGAGAAGTACAGCAACGTAGGTCGACACGAGCCGGTAGCCGGTACGATCCGGTCGGAGGCCTTCCGGTGCGCCTTTCCCCCGCGCCGGCGAAATCGTGCCGTGATCGTGCGTCGTTGTCGACAATCACCTGGTCGGGGTTAAGGGGGACCTGCAGATCGACCGGCGGATGCATCGATGCCCATGTGGCACGGTCATACCCCACACAAAGCCCATCTCCACCATCCGTTGGATGGGGAAACGATGACACGCCCCTGTGACACCCGCACCCCTCTCTGCCCTCCATAATGAGCAGGCTGTGCCGTCATATGTCAGAGGTGCATACGGAGCAGCCTCGACCGCGCGCGTCTCGATTCCCCGCACTTTTTTTTTCCTCTCCGCCTTGACCGCAACGCGTTCCGAATTCCGCCACACTCGACTGCCACCGAGTTCCGAGCCTCACTTAGCCAGCTCTGCGAGCTCGGCCGATCAACTGCCGATCCACACAACGCCGATCCATTGGATCTACCTCGACCGTTATCCTGTGTCGCCGATCCTTTGCAGGGCTGCATGCCACAAGTGTCCAGTTTTGACGGTCCTGACACGTACAATGAGGATTTGGGGCAGAATGACGGCTGCTATTGCAGGGTATATGAGAAGCAATCTGGAGGTGGACTTCTCTAATCAAAGGTGATGCTCGACAGACCACCAGTGCCGCCAGGCACGCGAACGCGGCGAGTGGGACGGAAGCCGTTGTTCATCACGGCATCGTTGCGTACGCCCTCGTATACGCCTGCCTTGTCGCCGCTGACGTCGTTGTAGAAATGCGACTCCTGGGCGGCGGCCACGTTGCCGCTCGCGACGCGGCGAGCAGGCGCAGCACCCAGGGGCTCGAACTCGTTGACCTCGGGAGCAGTAACAGGCGCAGCCGGCTTGCTAGCTGCAACGGGCGCTGGTTCCTCCTCCTCGTCGGCACCGCTGCCGAACAGCGCGCTCACCTGCGCAGAACCACCGCCGGGCAGCTGTCGCACCTTGCGGCTTGGTCGGAATACGTCGCCGGAGCTCGTGTACACCACGTTGGCCTCGTTCGAAGCGCCTCGTACAGCCTCGGCCGCTTGCACCTGCTGCGCCTGTACCGGTGCGGGCTGAGCTGCTTGGCTGGCAGCGGGTGCGGGCGCAGACGCCGATGCACCAGCGTCATCCGACACTGTCAGCTTGCCGATCGTCGCGTACCTGACGAGACGCAGGTTCGAAAGCAGAGCACCGACGGGATCAGTCTCGTGTGTCTCTTCCCAGACACATGCCAAAGGTACTCACTTGGGCAACCGCGAAAGCTCGGTAAAATTGGGTCCAACATGGACGTTGTGCTGCTTGAGGAAGGCCACAAAGTCCTCCTTGGTGAAGACAATGTGATGCTTCTGCGGCAAGCATCCTGAGGTAAGAAATTGAGGAGCAGACGGGAAGATGAGTGTCAGCGTCGGATTGCATTCCATGTTGGCTCGTCAAAGCTTGCCACTCACCGAGATGGTATGCCCAGTCCTTGGGGTTCGAGTTTTCCTTGTCAAAGTTCGGGTTCGGGGTGAAGGAAGCCATTGTTGCGAATCTGTATGAGGCAGCTACCGTGTGCATTTCCGTTGGGGCATATGGATTGATGGTGGAAGAGAAGGCGAGGAGGATGCGGTCGACTGCATGGCGCACCGATGCCCCAAGTGTTGGTCTCGCTGGTTTTTTTGGCTCGAGCAACACTGAGCGCTCCCGTGCCCGACTCTGAGCTGGCAGGCATGCAGCCGTTTTGCGTTGTTTTGGCCGCGCGCCCAGTCGACGCTCGCTGCCCTCACGCGTTCCCCTGCGCGCCTCGGACGCTGGCGAGCGCATCCCCGACCTAACACGTAGAAATCTCGAAAAAGCGGCATTTTGTAACCCTGTTTTCTCCCTGAATTTGGTCAAGAATTTCAGAGGGGAGTGAAAACGAGCTCCAACCGCAGTCTCCATGTGATCTCATGGCAGCAACTCACCAGCGTGTGAAGCCATCTCCATGTGTCCCTAGCTTCGGCATGCGCGCAGGTTGAGATCAAGTCCTCACTCCTCTTTGGGTTTGCGTTCGCCTTCACTTGTGAGTGTCAAGCGAGTGGCTTGGTTCCGTCTTGCTTGCGGATCTCATGAGAGCTGCATGATGCATTGAGCCAGCCAGCCAGCCGGGATGAGATCGTGGCATTTGCCGACACCTGTCGACACCAGCACGCCGAACAATGCCTTGACAGAAGGCGCGTGCGCACGCAATCACATTGCATTGCGCCGCCGCCCACAGCTCGAGCGCCGCACCCGCGTCAGCACACAGCAGCACACTCGCTCGGTGCGGTCACTTGCGGCGTCCTTTCAGTCAGCGCGGGCCGTCTTTGTGGCCAAGGGAGAATTCATCAAGCGGTTCGAGCGCGGCATATTTCCGTCTCGCGACGCGGTCGGGTGCATCTGGCAGCATTGTAACCGCACACGCCGCTCGGAAGCTTCTGCGTCTGTGGCGATTGGGTGAGCTGCAAACCACACCGGCAGCGCAAGTGGCTGCTTGCCCGAATCGTCGGCGCCCTCAAGCCTATCTGCTGGATCTGCCCATCACAGGTCAGTGCGCCTCCGCGGCCCGTTGGAGAACGCTAGCCGACCGCATCCAGTCCGCAGTCGGACAGGCCCGCTAGCTTTGACTTTGGCTCTCACTCTGCATGCAAGCAGAGTTGCAGGCTGCAAGCTAGAGCTTGTCGTCCGAAGTCGCTTGGTTTCGCTTCACACCTTCGCCGCTTCGCCGCTTGGCGTCTCCGCACTGTTACAGTCCAGTCAGTGAGGGGGTGGGCTCAGGTGGAACGGCGCGTCGTCATATAAAGCCACCGTTGCCGTTTGGCTCGCTGCTTCGGCTCCTCTCGCTCGCACCTTCATCAAACTTAATCTTCCTCGCAACGCATGCACTGCGCATCCACCGGCGTGGGATTGCCGCTCCTCTCAAAGCTTGCTTCCGCACCCCTTTCCTGCCGTGGCGGAATCGACAACACGCTCGTTGGCCAGCCAGCCGCTGCGCCTTCATTCCACCTCCTCCCCATCCGGCTCTGGCACTCGCTTAGAGCTCACCTTCACACACCCACTCTTGGCCCACTTTCCATCCTTGCTTTCGTGAGGATCTTGCCATCGCAGTGGCTGAAGCCAAGATGCTGCATTCGTTCCCGCCATCCTTTCACCAAGACCCGTTCCACTGCTCGAGCAGCCCGGACAGGCTCTCCCTGGCTTCCTACGTCGCCACACGTCCGAATCCCTACACGGTCAAGTCGCAAAACACCCAGTACTACACCTCGCTGCGATCCACCGCCCAACCCCTGTCGCTTTCGCCACGGCGTGCGTCGCTCGGAGCGGCCAACGCCAGCAGCACCTCGTCTCCGCAGCTCGACGCGATCGACAGAGCACACAGCTCGTTCCAGGCAGCGGCAAGAACTCCACGATGCTATTCCAAGCCGCACGGCCTCAGCCCCACACTCTGTCCTCAGCTCACCATGGTCAAGTCCAAGAAGCGTCCCGTCAAAGGGCTCGTGGTGAGAGAGGAGCAAATGGCTGCGAAACGCACCAGCACCGCCAAACTGTCTCCGGCAGCGATCAACAAGCGTCAACAGCATGTTGTTGAAGCTGCAAAGCATCGCGCCAGATCTACCGACGCTGCCGTCCAGTCCTCGCCGACCCTTGATCCCATGCTCTTGGAGACAGACCCTTTTCGACCCGAGATGCATAGTCCCCTGTCGTCTCCCTCGCCCTCGCCAGCGGCCCAGTCACGATCGCGTGCAACAGCCAGGATGTCGGTCCCCCGCATCACCATCCGCTCTCCCACTCCCGAACTTGATCCGGAACACCAACGATTGCTCCAAGCAGAGAGCAGCAGCACGGTCACCAGCGTGGAAGCGCCCGAAACGCCCTTGTACAGCAAGTCACTGCTAGACGGACTGCGAGCCGACGTGAGCCGCGTCGAAGACGACATAGATGCGATTCTGAGCAAGTATCTCGAGCCGCGTCAGTCGGTGCGATCGATCAGCATCGAGTTTCTCCGATCGCTCACCTCGTCGGTCTGCCGGCTGCACTCGTACGTCGAAGATGCGCATTCGCCGCTCGGATTTGCCAAGCTGCGCGCCATCAGTAGCCACCTCTTCCGCCACGCGGTCACCGGCTTTCTCCACCTGCTCGAGGATCCCATCGCGCCGTACGAGACCGCCGCCAATCTTGCGCTGGTGTCGGCCAAGATCGTGCACGACTTTGACAAGGCTACCGAGCTGTGCTGCCGTCTGCTCGACGTGCCGAGCCAGGGCAAGGAGAAGATCAACCACGGCAAGCTTTTCGCCAACGTGCTCAACGGCGAGCTTGACATCGTTCTCGACAGGGGCGAGGCGGCGATCGACGGCCACAACAAGCTCGCCCTGCCAGGTACGGGTGCACTGTTTTTTGATGCGCCCAGCTGCGGCAAGGATGGACTAGAAGCAGGTTCATTTGCAGGCGGCAGCGCATGGAAGGGGAGAGCCAGCCTGCGCAAGCAGTGGGCACAGGAAGGCGAGGAGCGCAACCAGTTTGCTGCCATGGATGTTGTGAGGTTCGTCGGCGAGCTCGGCGTTCAGGAGGTGGTTACGGTCAGCGTAGTGGCTCGCTGGCTCGACCGTTTCCTCACGCGCACTGCCTACATCGACATTCCTTCGGCGTGGGAGATCGAATGCGCCTGTGCGCTCCTCATCACTGTCGGTGCTACGCTCGATCGTCGAGCCTACCCGAGCTCTCGATCGAGGAACGCGGGCAAAAGGGAAGGCAGCAATGCACTGCAGCTGCAAGACGCCGTTGCAAGCTCACCGACAACAGAGAATCCTGTGCAAGGCGACAAGGCGGCGATCGAGACCATGCAAAAGACCATGGACAGGATCGACTTTCTCGTCACGCACGCAGACATCAGCCCCGCCGCACGCGAGTGGCTCATCGAGGTGGAGCGTCTTCGGGAGAGAGGATGGAGCCGTGACGACGACGACCACTTGCCCGACATGTCTTTTTTTAGCAACTGAGCGCCACTATTGAGCCCGCAATCGAGTCGTCGCCAGAACATACGTTTGAGCCTGTGCAGCACGGTGTTGAGCTTCGACAGGCGATGTGGGCTGAAATAAGATGAAAAAAAAACTGAAGGTCTAACATACATTTATTTTTTGAGCCGCTCTCGAGTGACCAAGCCGTTCGGCTCCGACGGCACGCGAAGCTTTTTTCTGGAAGCCCGCCTACCCACCTGCACCTTTTCTTCCTCGACCACCACCACCACCACCACCACCACACCACACCACACACACACATACACACGCCGCGCAACTGGCGTGTTGGGACACACAGCGGCAACCTACGATGTCGATGCTGCGCAGCGCTGTTGCGCGACCTCTGCGCACTGCTGCGCTTGTCCCCGGTACATGTTTGCCCCCGATGAACCTGCTTTGCCGCAGCTTTGCATCTACGTCGCTGGGGCAGCTGCAGTCCACGACGCCCTCTTCCAAGACCGAATCGTCCGGGTCGACTGCGTCGACGTACAGTGCGATTCTGGACTCGCTTGCGGACTCGTATGAAAAGACGACGCGCGGGGCCGGTGCGCGTCTCTCGCGGCCCTCGGATGGGCGTCGAGGCTACGTGGCGGATTTGGAAGCCGAGTGGGCCACCCGCGCGGTATACGGCGAGCAGTCCTGGCCTGCAACGCCATTCAGTGGCAGGAGCATTCGGGTCACGCCATCGGCGGATCCGGCACGAGCGTATGCACAGCTGGCTACGCTGCTCAAGAAGAACAACGTGCGCGGCGAGTTGAGGCTGCAGCAGCGATACGAGAAGCCCAACGAGGAACGAAGACGCAAGAAGAGCGAACGCCACCGTAGGAGGTTCGCCGACATGGTCAGGAAAAAGGTCCAGCTCGTCATGGCCATCAAGGCTCGAGGCGCATAATCCTCCAGAGCGAATCCGCGTGACCCCAGACAAAATTGTATTTGTATCACACAGCAAAAACCCAAAAGTGTTGCCTTTATCGTTGTGTCGAGCGTCGAGTCGGAAGTGCGAGCCGTTTGGCGGGCTTCATATGTGGCGCTTGGGTGTCAGCTGGTCCATGTCAGCTGGCAGAGCTTGGGGCGAGGATGCGAGACGGAAATTGCGGCTACGAGGATCGGGTTGTCTCGTCCGGACCAGGAGCAAGGTCGAGATGAAAGCCGTGGTTGGGGAAAAAGAAAGTTGAGGGTGGGAACATCGTTTGATCAGGTGAAGCATGTCTTGCAAGCCACAGAGCCACAAGTGTGCATCGGTGTGCCAAATGCCGCGTGCGTGCGCCACATGCAGATAGCGCAGCCGGCCCCAAGCTATAGGTGATAAACGCTGGGAACGGATGCATCTTGACGACACACCATCGTCTTTACGACTGGGATGATGACGATGCACGATCCGCTGAGTGTCAACTTGATCGATACGCACACCACCGCTGTGCTTGCAGGCATCGTGATCGGAGGTAAGCCCACTCCTCACCTCGTTCGAGCAGAAAATGGCACTGATTGAAAGGGTTGGCTCTTTAGAGACGGTATCGTTTTTGCGGTTTGATGCGGCGCTGGTGCGTGCGATGGTTCAGCAGCGCACCGTACGCGTGATGCCGATTGCGTATCTTACAGCACGCTATGCGATGGGGATGGGGATAGTGCTGCTGGCATGTTTGACGATTCCAACGCTGGGTTCGGGCTGGACTGCGTTTCGACCGGTGTGCTGGCTTCGCGTTGCCCTTCTCCCGCTCACGTTCACCGCCACATCTACGCTGGTCGGGTATCGTGCGTTTGTGATCCACTTTCACCGCCCGCTACTCCTGACGCTGCTCATCCACATGCTACTGGCAGCCGTATTCGCCGGAGGCATCGCAACCCTGGTGCTGTCGACAGAGATGGGCTTCGATGGACCGAGGTTTGTGCCCGAGTGGATCGTCGCCATGTTGGCCATTGCCATCGTCACAGACATTACACTCACGCTCGTAGTGGTTGTACCCATCTTGCAAGACGCTTGGCCACGGAGGGGAGATGTTGCACATATGCTGCTGCGCGATGCAGCGCTGTTCGGCTTGGGCTCGGTGGCGTTGAAAGTTGCGGCCATGGTGGCCACGCTTGTGTGGGGCGGGCGACTCGCGAATCCATATCTTCCGTTGAGGATGCAGGGGATCGCATGTGGCATCTGGGCATGCAGGATGTTTCGCGCGCAATGCACGTTTCTCACCACACAAAGAGAACGCAAGGCCAGCCCGAGCCTCGAGACGATCCGCTTCGATCAGATGCTGCCGGGGGCCGAGTCGAGCATTGACTCACTTGCGCCGGTCCAGGCGGCTCACCTGTCCAAGAGCGACGACAGTACGAGCCAACACACACACGACGAGCAGACTTGCCAAACAACGATGCCTACCGACACTGGCTTCAAGACGGTGTCTTGTGCGAGCGCGCAAGAGGTGACGCTAGACGCATGACGATGGCCGCGGTCGCCGATACCGCGCCCCGATGTGTACGATTGCAAGCGAGCGCAACGTGGCAAATGCGAGGTGCAGCCCCTCCGATACGGCCATGGAGCGAATCCGATCCGAAGACTGTCCGGTGCAGAGAAGCGCAATTGTTCCGACGGGCTGGGTTCGGCATCTCGGCATGGCCACGTTTTCCGGATGTGCTTGCAATTTCCGTGTGTTTATTCTTTCAACCTGCTTTCCTGCTTTGCAGGCCGTGGCTTTGAGGGCAAGAAGAGGCGCGGGCGTGTGTGAGGAGGCGGCAAAGACAGGGGGAGGGAGGGCGGAGGGAATGTGCAGACGCCCTGAACCGGCGGCACCGGGGTGGGCTCGGTGGCCGCCATGCATGCAGATGTCAAGGCAAGCGATCTCCAACCCTGGGCCCAGACTGGGGCCAATGGTGGCGCGACAGGCGAGCATGGGCATGATGCGAAGGGTCGAGATTCATGCAGACAGAGGATGGCTAGCGTGGCTCGGAAGAGCCTCGAGCGGCGTTGTGCTTGTGTGCGTGTGCGTGCATCCGAGCGCCGAGCAAGGGATGGTATGACGCTGCGACTCCGGCGACCATTCGAGCAAGGCCCCTCCTCCAGCCAAGATGAGGCTTGGTCCGACACGCAAAGTTGGCCGAGGATGCAGTTGGCTGACGCTATCTCGGCGAGCAATCACCACGGCCATTGAGATGCTCAAGCCAAGAGGCGGCTGCGCGGTTCATGGCGAGGCGGGGCTACGGTAGATTGAGTGGGAGAGCGATTGGGAGAGCTGGAGAGAGCCGCCCCGACCGGCATGGCATCGTCGGAAATGCGGCGTCAACGAGGTTCGAGCCCGTTGCTCCTTTTTTTGGCAGCGCAGATGCTGCGCGTGCCCTCCTTGGACTGGCCATCGGAGTTTGTTGGCCGAAAATCCGCAGCCCACGATTCGAAACACCGAGCGGGCTGCTTTCACAGCTCGAAGAAAGCGAGAGAGAGCCAGGACGAGCTGGCGACGTCTGCATTGGATGCAAACGTGACTGCCGACGCTGTTGGCAATGCAAGGACGCGATGGACTGTGTTCGAGCAAGTCGTGTCGAGGCGACGACGAGGTGATACAGAGGCGAGCTTTCACCAGCACACGCGCGCGTTCCTGGCTCGCGTGCCTGGCCTTTTCGCACAAACAAGCGTGGCTGCACCGACATCGTCGCATCTGGCCAAGCCATCGCGCCTCACGGAGGAAGGAGGCGGCCGAAGCAGTGGTACTGATTGCAAACCTGCTCTGCTTGCCGTCCAGCTTGGCGCTTCCCAAGGTGTGCAATCGGCAGGGCCGGAGAGCGGCTGGAAATTCGTGTGTGATTGCTGTCGTGATTGCGATGCGAGTGGAGCGCTGCAGCTTGCAGCTCTCAGCAGCTCTCAGAAGCATCCGTGCCTGAAGGCCGGCCCTCTCCGCACAATCAACCCACCTATGCACGGCTCTCCACGCTCTCTATCTGCCCAGCCCAGCCCAGTCCAACCGAACCGGTCCGCATCCACATGCGACTTTTCGACTGCATTCCGACGTTCAACGCAACTCGCTCCGCCTCGCCTCGCCTCGCCTCGCCCCGCCTCGCCCTACAGTAACTTCGCCTGACCTCGTCCCTCGTCCTAGTCCTATCCGAGTCCGCTCATCCGCTCACCTTTTCGCGTCGCCATCACCATCTCCACCACCAGCTTTCATCTTGGCATCTTATCCGCAGCTTGAGTACGCCTCGTATCCACATCCACGTCGATCGCAACCAAGCAGGCCTCGCACGCGATCCCCATCCACGACCTCCTCCACCTCATCGGGTTTCTCGGTCATTCGGTGTCGACCTCAGCCTCTGATTCGCAACGCATCCCTGCCACCCGATAGATGGTAGCATTCTCCGACACGCTCCTGGCTCGATCCAGCGCACATCCTCGGCAGCTTTGCTCTTGCAACGTGGGAATGCTCACCCTCTGAACGGCATCGTCGCTTTCCGCACACCGAAACTTCCACCGCCGAGGCCATGCACTCGTGCGCCTTGCCGCTATAGTTCCGCAATCAACATTGCCTCTTCCCATCGCTCTTCTCGATCCCGCTGCCTCCTCCGACAGAGTCCCACACCACCATCGCCAGCCGCGCTCTTTTCTGCTTGCCCTCCACCGCCGCCATGAACGACTCTGCTGGCTTCAAGCTCTCCCCCGAGGGCATTGCCGCTGCAACCCCGTCTAGCTCCACCGGAACGCCCGGTAGCAGGGCCAACAAGCGCAAAGACTCCGAGTCCGAACACCTCTTCAAGCAAGAACACTCCTCTTCACACGCTAGCCCTTCCACCAACGACACCAGCGCTGATGCTCTCAACGGTCAAGCCCCAAAAGACGATCTCCGCTCCACCCCAGGCTCCGCCGAAAAGGCGTCCAAGCGCATCAAGACGGCGCGCGCATGCGACTCGTGCCGACGCAAAAAGATCCGTTGCGACGTAATCGACGACGGCGGCCCTCCCGTCGGTTCGGTCAATAATGGAAACGGCGGCCTCGTCTGCGCACACTGCCGCCAGTACGGCTTCGAATGCACCTTCTTCCTCCCCATCACAGAGACTCGCTTCAAGAAAAAGTACCAGCGCGAGGCCGAGGAGGCTGCAGCCGCAGCCGCCGCCGTCGCAGCCGCGTCCGGCACCAACGGCGCCCTTTCCGGTCAGCTACCGATGCACGTGCCCGGCAGACATCCTGCCTATGCCGCCATGATGAGTGCGCAGCCCTTCATGGGCGCCCTCCACAATCCCACGGACTTCGCCGGCGCCTCTCAGCAGTTCTGGGCCGGCCACTCGCAGCCTTCCCTCTTCTCCAGCGCTGGCCCACAGCACTCGTTCGGCGCCAATCAGCAGACGTCAGCCCATCTGCATCCATCCAGCTCGTCTTCCAGCCTCACCACCCCCGCTCCACAGCGCAGGAGCCCCTCGCGCACGCCGCCTCCCGATACCCGCGTGCTCGGGCCCACCTCGATCGCCTACATTGTCCACTCCACCGCCTTCATCCCCGGCGCCGCCATCGAGGCGCACGATATCAAGCACAATCAGACCTTCGAAGTGGGCGCCAGCGGCGACGGCATCATCCGCTTTCACCGCGCGCGCAAGGGCACTTTGGCAGGCGCCGATGCCGCCAAGGATGCCAACGTCGCCGTCGAACTCGACGAGGACGACGTCGTACGCATCCCCGAGTCCATCAAAGGCCGCCTCGCAGGCGACGTGGCCGAAAAGCTCGTCAACACCTACTTTGAAAAGGTCGCTACGCTCTTCCCCGTCGTCACCAAGTCCGAATTCCTGCATCTCTCGCCTACGCCTCCGCTGCTGCTCTACGCCATCTGCGGCGTCGCCGCGCTGAGCCGAGGCGTGCCCAAGGAGGTGCTCGGCGCCGTCAAGATGACCATCAACGCGCTCTTTCGTGAAAACGACTTTCTGTCCTCCTCCAACTCGGTCACCGTGAGGGCGCTGCTCGTCATGTCTCTCCACGCCGATCTGCACGGGCCAGCGGCTCTCCAGAGTGGCACGCGCTGCTGGAACCGCACGGGAGCTGCCATCCGCATGGCGCAGGATCTGGGTCTACATCGCGACGCCAGCGGCAAAGACGATCTCTCGCGCGACGCCTTCTTCCTCGAGCAAAAGAGGCGCATCTGGGGCTGCTGCGTCACCGCCGATCGCATGCAGAGCATCGCGCTCGGCCATCCCATGATGATCGACCTCACCGACTGCGATGTGCGTCTGCCATCGCCGTTCGAGATCCTGCGCTCCCCGAACGATTTGCCTTCGGACCCGTCGACGGACCGTCCCTTTGCCTACAATACCGAGATGCTCAAGCTCACCATCCTCTTCGGCCGCGTCATGAAGACGATCTACAGCCCAACAGGACTCATGAATGCTACGGACGAGGAGATCCTCAGCCTGCTGCGCGACATCGATGCGTGGAAGGCGGCACTGCCTGCCGAGCTCGTCTTCAAGGGCGCCGACTCAAGCGCTCCAGCAGGCATCCTGCACGTCGGCTTTGCCTGCCTGATGATGCTCTTCTTCCGCGTCTTCATGCGCATCTCGTATATCTGCCCGACCCACCTCAAGTTCAGCCTCACCATCGACCGCATGAGCGCCCTCATCCAGTACTCCACCGAGGCCATTGCATGGGTGGACAAGAACGACTTTTACCTCGACACCATGCAGATCGTCTCGTACTGCCTCGTCTCGTGCGCCACTGTGCAGTATCACGCCTTTGTGCGTCGAGGTGATACGAATGCCCAGATGCAGCTCAAGAAGCTCAACGACATCATGGGCCGCTACCGGCGCGAGAACCACGAGCCGGACGACGTCAGCATGCGCGGCAAGGCCGCCAGTGTTATCTCGCTCCTGTGCGACAGCTGTGCGGGCGTCTACGCCAACACGCGCTCCAACGGCACGCTCAATCCGACGGCAGGCGTCACCAACCGCAAGTCGCGTGAAAATGTGCGCGGCATCGTGTTCAAGCCGGATGCATCGAGGCCTGGGGGCGGCGTGTACATTGCTGCCGACCAGAGGCTGTTGTTCCGTGACCTGCCCAAGGGCACAATCATCATGCAGGAGAACCAGGACGGCAGCCGAATCCCGGCGCTCGTGCGCACCGGCAACGATCAGAACGGCGGATGGCAGACGTACGAGCAGTACCGTGCGGCGCTTGGCCTCTCGACAGGCACAGGGTCGCAGGACAGCTTTGCAGCTGCGCTTGCCAATGGCAGCTTTGCCATGCTCAACAGCGTCAGCACCTCCACCCTCCCCGCCTCGGCCGGATTCGGCCTGGCTAGCTCCACGTCTGCAGCGGCGGCGTCGGGATTGCAAAAGCCGACGGGCTCGGGTGCACTCACCAACAGCGTCCCCGCGGTCAGCTCGGCCGTGCCGACATCGACGGCAGGCGCAGCGCTGAGCGAAATGCCGGCACCAAGCGACGAATCTGGGCTCAACTTTACCCATCTTGGCGGCGATGTGTGGCAGGATGCCGACGGACGGCCGGTGACGCGTTCGGGGGCGCGGCTGCTGACCATGGTACCCATCGCACCGGATGCGATGGGAGCGGGCAACGCGTTCCTCGACTCGAACCTCGCTGTTCTTGCCAACTTGTCCAAGTCGAGCAGCGATGATGGCACTGCTGCCTCGGCCTCGAACGGCGGTGGTGGCGGCTACTTTGGCAACCTGACGCAGCTGGGCGCGGGCAGTGTGGGCAGTGCGGGCACGCAACTGTCGGTGGCTAAGAACGCCATCACGCCAGCAAGCCCCAGCTTCAACTTTAATCCGCACCTCAACAATGCCTACTGGGCACCGGCCGAGTTCGTTCTTGGCCAAAACGGCAGCGGCAACGCGGGTACGGCACCGGCAGAGGCGTCCGAGGCCAACTCGGCGGCAGGCATGTTTGGGTCGCGCGTGGATCCGACCATGCTCGATGGCATCCCCGGCGCACCGCTCGATTTCGCCAACTGGGACGCCTACTTTAGCCGCATGGGTCAAATTTCTGAGGGCGGTGCGGGAGATGCACAGGCACAAGGTCATCAGCAGACCGCAGGTGCTGCGGACGGCGGCGGATTTGCTAATACGGCATTTGGGATCGAGGCGCAGATGATGGATGCGGGTCGGTTCTAATTCCGACCACACGCATTGGTTATGTTGGACACTTATACTGTATTCTAGACTGGTCGCGGCACCTACAATGCAAGGGAAAGCTCTCAAAGGACGTTTTTGATGTCGCGCACCACACGTTTGGTGCCCTTGACAAGCTGTTCGACGCGGTGAAAGTGGCCCGAGTCTCGACGTGAGTTGGCGGCGGTGGTGTGGCAGTCGCACTCGCACTGTGGGTCTTTGGTGGTGAAGCAAGTGCATGTGCATGCGGCGGTGGGGATGGCAGGTGCCGAGCAGCAGTGCGTGAGCTTGTGGTGCGCAACATGGCCGCATGGATGGTCTGGGATGCGTTGCATGGCCGATACACTCGGGTCGTCCGAGAACGGCTCCCCCGTCGCCGTCAGCTGCACGGGCAACGTCGATGCGCGCTTCACCCTCGGCGGCGCCGAGTCGTTTGCAGCGTAAGTTGTTGGGGCGGTGTCGGCCGTTCCGAGCACCATATCGCGCACTGAAGCAGCCGATGAAAACACCGCCGATGAAAGAGTGCCCAGCATCGTGCCTCCTTCTTTGTCCCCTGGCTCTGCTGAGGTTGCGTTATCGGTTTCAGCGGCTGGATGCGGTGAGACGAGAGCCGACGCGGCTGCCGAGGTGAGGCTGACCACGGTGCTGCCGAGGAAGCTGAGCGCCGAAGCGCCCGTACTCACCAGCACCGATGCAGCCGTAGTCTCTGTTTCCGGTATAACCGGCAGCGGCGCCTCATCCTTCGTATCTTGCTGTGTTTGCTCGGAAAGCCCGAGGTTCGGCTTGAGCAGCGCGGCTTTTCTCGACGCGGTCATGGGTGTGCGCTTCGGCGGTGGCGGTGGATCTTTCGCCACGGGTGCTACGAACAGAGATTGTCAGCCGTACTCAAAAGTGGACAGGGTGATATAAGAGGTTGCGTACCTGGAGGTCCAAAGAGCAGCGCCGACGAGCTGCTCGCCAGCTCACCGAGGAGGTTCATCTCGATCCGAATGTTTGGGGCTCTGCGTTATGAGCGAATGGCATCATCAGCGCCCCAGCATCAGTGAAAGAAGCGGTAAAAGAGGTGCGCGCGAGGGTGGGAGAATGGAGAAGCGTGGGCTCGGGTTATGAGAGGACCAAGGTGGGTTCGCCCATATAGGCAGGTGTTGGTGTGTTGGTTTCGACCCCTGAAGCGCCCTTCGTGGCTGCACGGTGACGCGCGCTGCAGCCCGCGAGGCGACCGCTCGAAGATTGTGGAAAGAGCGATGTAACATGCCACAAGATTTCCGCCGCATCGAGGACCGTCCCGTTTCGACTGCTATTTTGGAGCCACGCCTGCGCAAAGGCTCAGTTGGCCGTGTGGAGGTTGTCTCCCCCGCACAGATGCAGCCCCTTGTCGCTGTCGACAGCCATCATCTTCTCGTTCTCCATCGCAACCCTCTTCGCCGCGGCAACGCAGTCCACGACCATAGCTGCAACCATGCTCGCCAAGTAGATCAACATCGCATCGACCCAGCAGACTACAGTGCCACATTGAAAGGCTGCACCTCCGTCGTCGCTGCTGCTCATCATGCCGTCTCTCAACTTAGCGACGTCGTGGCCGCACCAGCTCGCCGCGACGATGCTCGCCAAGCAGCCCGAGCACAAGAGCCCCGAGGGAAGCGGCTCAGGAAGGTCGCTGCCCACCTCGCTGCTCGTCACCTCGACGCTGGCCGCAATCTTTGCCACCATCTTCTCGTTTTTCCTCATCTGGAAGCAGCTCAAGAACTATCGCAAGCCGATACTGCAGCGCTACGTGGTGCGGCTGCTGCTCATGGTGCCCATCTACTCGATCGCCTCGGTGATATCGCTCTACTCGCTCGAGCTCGCTGACATCATCGACCTTTTTCGCGATCTGTATGAGGCTTTCGTCATCTACTGTTTCTTCAATCTGCTCATCGAGTATCTCGGCGGAGAGCGCAGCCTCATCGTCCTCCTCCATGGCAGACGCCCACAGCAGCATCTCTTCCCTGCCAATCTCTTTCTGCACGACATGGACGCTTCGGATCCGTACACCTTCCTCGCGCTCAAGCGCGGTGTGCTGCAGTACGTGCAGGTCAAGCCCGTACTGGCCGTAGCGACGCTGCTGCTCAAGGCGGCGGGCAAGTACGAGGAGGGCAAGATCTCGGTCAGCAACGGATACACCTGGGTCTCGTTCACGTACAACGTGTCGGTCTTCCTCTCGCTCTACTGCCTCGCCATGGTGTGGAAGTGCCTCAACAGCGACCTCAAGCCGTTCCGCGTGACGTCCAAGTTCCTGTGCATCAAGGGAATCATCTTCTTTTCCTTCTGGCAGGGGCTCGGCATCTCGATCCTCGTGGCGGCCGGCATCCTCAAAAAGGTCGGCCCGGTGTACGATCCCGAGTACATCTCGATGGCGATCCAGGACTTTATGATCTGCCTCGAGATGCCCATCTTTGCGCTGGCGCATGCGTACGCCTTTTCGCACACCGACTACATCGATCCGTTTGCGCACTATGCGGCGAGGCTGCCCGTGTATTATGCGCTGCGCGACTGCATCGGCATGTACGACGTCTTTTCGGACAGCCTGACCACCGTGCGTGGCACGGGATACGTCTACCAGACGTTTGAGCCGAGCGAGGGCGTGATCCACCAGCCGCTCGCGCGCGAGCGCAGGTCCAAGGCCGGACTGCGCTACACTCAGGGCGGCAAGGGCAAGTACTGGTTGCCGCAGCGCGGTACTGGCGATATCCGCGACGCTACGCAGGGAGCGCGCCACCAGGGTCCGCTCAAGAAGCTGCGCCGGTACATCAACGATAAGCGCATGCAGCTCGAAGGGCATGCGCCGTTAACGCCTCAGGAGGCTGGCGAGATCGTGCACGAGGACCCGGATCTCGAGCACCAGGAAAGCTCGGAACGCAGCCCGCTGCTGCCGCACCCCAAGAAGGTGGCACGCAGTGCGGTGCGGCATGCGGGCGATGGGCTCGATTTTTTCGCCGAGCGCCAGCTCGACTCGGACGAGGAGGCCGAGGATCTGGGCTTCGACAGTCCGGACGAGGAAGAGGAGGAGGCGTACGAGCGCTCGCGCTCGCTCCACTTTGGCGACTATGCCTATCCGAATATCGACATTACGCGCGAGCAGGCACGCCACTCGCGCTGGCAGCAGGACGACGAGATCGTCCACCGCCGCCGACGCAAGGATACGCTCTCCAAGAAGGCCAAGTCCGAGCCGACCCAGGCTAGGCCGCGCGAGGGTGGCGATGATGCGGCACAGGGTGAAACAAACGGCGAGGCACAGAGGGACGAGCAAGCCGGGAGCAGTAAGGCGAAGGGCAAGGCCAAGGTCAGCGATGAGTCTGCAAAGGCTCCAGTGAAAGAGGACCAGGAGGGCCAGCAGACGAACAGCAAGTCGCAGGATTCAAAGACCACGCAAGCGACGGAGGCGAAGGCGGATGCGCCAAGCGATCCCAAGATCGAGGCGAAAGAGGAGGATCCGTACGGCGCAGTGGATCTGGTGGTGGAGGACTACAAGGCCGAGGAGCGGGAGCGGCTGATGGAGCGTCGACGCGGCGATCCAGCGCTTCGCGCCGGCGGCACGCGCATCTTTCGCAAGAAGTACACGCCTTCGCCCAACGCCTCACGCTCAGCCACGCCGAACCCCGACCAAAGAACGACGTCCAACAGCCAAACTCACAAGAACAGCGACGCGCAAGACACACAGATGGATCGGCTCCTCTCGACGCGCATCGACGTGGATGACAACGAGACCTTCCTCAAGGGCCGCTCGCTCTCGCCGCTCGGCCAGAATGCGAAGCTGCCCGATTCGCACGATTCGAATCCATGGGCTTGATTGTCCGCAGGTCAGCAGTGAGACCAATGCAACCAAGACGATTGTTTTTCTGGATGTGCACGAGTCGTGCGTTGAATTTTTGCAGGCGCGCATGTAAGTGTGTGTGTGTGTGTATCGTACAACGGATGAAGG